GGAAAGCTAGAAAGCTGAAATTTTAAGTGGGTGTTTCCTGCCAGTTCTGGCGGCCAGTCTTAATTTTTTTAGCTAGAAACATTTGCCGTAAAAACCGATGCCGGTAGCGACAAAAACAGCGGGGAACTGTGCAAAATACGCATCTTCGCACGGGCAGCCCGTGCGTTGGCCAATTATTTAGAACTCATTTCATCGTCTTTCAGCTGTCTTTTTGAACGCTGAGCATGAAAGTTGCCCTCACGGCCGAGCTAGCGCGTACGCCATCAAATTCATTGCCACTAAGCATAAATTATTTCATTTCTCATCCCCTATCCCGCCCGCCTTTTCCATTCACTTCTTTTTTTTTCTGAAATTCGCGCTTTGACAATACCCACAAGTGTTTGCTTATGGGCTGCTTATGCTATTCAGTCAAATAACCGTCATTCAAAGTATCCCATTCCACTGACATCGTTAAGGCTATTCGAATTCCGTTAGGCCTTTTAAAGCGCTGGTACTGAAAATTACTGTATGAACGGAGCAGGAGTTAATGAAAATTCTTATAAATAAAATTGCAAACTACATTTTATGCGTTTTTTGCAGCTATGCAATTCAGTCAAATAACTGATTCAAAGTATCCCATTCCTCTGACATCGTTTGTCATTCCTTTGACATCGTTTGACAGCTATGCAATGCCGAAAACGCATATTGACGAGGGGTTGTCTGTGTGTCTGTGCGTGCGTCTGTACCGATTTTTCATCTCAAGACCTACAAAAGCTACAGGGCTGAAACTCTGGGGACTTAATCTGCATACACGTACGGGCCCCAATCCCCAAAATGGGCGCCCTTCCCCACGTGGTACCCACGTACGAGCCCGCCAAATTTTTTTACGGGTAGGTTCATAACTGGAGGATCTGAGAAGCTAGAAGGCTGAAATCTTAAGGGGATGTTCCCCGTCCGAGCGGGTATTAATGAGCTCCATCCCAGCCTCCGGGTAAGCGTGGTGCCTACATACGGGCCCATGAAAACCTCTTTCGGGTAAATTGCTAACTCGGGAGCATGAGAAGCTAGAAGACTGGAATTTTGTAGGGATATTTCCTAACAGTCTTGGCGGCCATTCTGAAATTCTTTTAGCTAGAACCATCTGCAGGAACAACCAGTGCCGTAAGCGACAAAAATCTGCGGGGAGCTATGCAAAAAATGCATCTTCGCACGGACAGTCCGTGCGTTGGCCAATTATTTAATTTCCTCTTCGTAACTGACCATTATCCACTTTGCCGCCATCAAACTTTTCTCCCTTTAATACATTTAGCAACTTTTCCGCTTTGCTCAGCCCGGAACTTGCTGCATTTACATAATCCTATGCCAGGCTTCCAGTTGTTCGATTAGACTTTTTCATTGCTTTGGCTGCTGTGTATCATTCGTTTAACTTTCTGTGATATCTATTCATTGAATGACACCCCAAAGGCATTGTTCAAGCGTCATTTGCCCTTTCCCAGCATTTCTGGTGCACTTTCGATGAGGAGACACGAAGTGCGTATTACTCCCGATGTCGTGCTCCACTGCTTTCCTTCCTGCGAAAGTAATTCTACTCACCACAACGCAAAAAGTAATTCTGATTGAGCGTCTCAGTCCGTATGTTCCAGCGTGACAATATCATGCTGTCCATCGGCAGCTGGCCAGTGTCTAGTTGAGTGCGTTCACTTTCCACGACTAGATTAAAATGTGGCTACAAGCACTGCAATTAACTCGATTTTTTTACAAAGCTATAGCTAAGTAAAAAGGTAAGAAAAAGTTGCAGCCTAAAAAGAGAGAGACTCAGGCCGATGAGGGGGAGGCGAGGCAATTGCTTTAGAAGAATGTGCGTGAACGGCAAAAGAGAAATTTTCAAAAAAGTATTCGAATTCATTCTACTGTTACTCGAAAGCCTTACCAAGGACCGATGACTGGGCATTTTCGCGGTATCACAGCTAACAGATAGATGTTCATGAATGACTTCTTGTAGATGAGCGAGCCCACTTTTTGATCGTAGTTAGTCGCTTTTGCAATTAAAATTTCTCTGAAAATAAGCGTTATCTAGTGTGATCTTCCTTTGGCCTAGTCTCTGCCTAAATCGGCGACTCTAGTCCTTGGCAGCACTTGAAGCGTCCAGCTAATGTTGTTGTTTGAAGCAGCACTTTTGTCAACTCTTCTTGTTCAGTGGATGTTCAGACCGACAGTGGGGTACAGTGGTGAGCGAACTTCTGGGAAAGGGCAAAATTTTTGCTTGGAATGCGCTAGTCCATCCGCTGTTTTGCTTTCTTGCCACTCAGCAGCTAACACTAACGACAGCTAGCTTGCTGCTGCTTACTATCGATCGTGAATTCTAGGCTTTCGAGACAGATAGAAAGACATACCACTTGCGTACACACACACACACACACACACACACACACACACACACACACACACACGCACACATGCTGGCAGCCTCGCACTTATTTCATCTTACACTCCCGGAACGCATTCATTTACCGCATTCTAGAGCGAAACAATCACTAACTGCAACCCTGCTTTCTGGTTGCTGAGCTGCAGCCCGTGATGCGATGTAAGCGTGAAGTAAAAAGTGCGTGTGTGTATGTTTATGTATGTGTGTGTACGTGCATAACGCCATGAACCTGGAATAATTTTAGCTTTCGCTAATTGATTTTACGCAGCATAAAATCATGCTTTAATAAGCTGCTGTTACATCGTCGCGTTTCTTCTCGCCATTGATGCAGCCAATCTTCCCCATTACGGTCCTAACGGCTCCATTTGAGCATTCGAGCTTATCTTTCCCTGCGTGGGCGGCTGCTGCATGCATTCTACCAAAGTTGCATAGGTGCCAGTTAACAATCCACTTTGTTCATCTGTTGTCCCTGATTCTTATGCGTTTTTGCGCATTTGTGCAAACTGCTACTTGGTTAATCAAATTGTTATTGCTCTTCCTGGCGTGCATAACGTTGATTATACGTCCCAAATGTCGATTTATGAAAGAAAAAAATAATATATAAGCAGCAGTGGGGTGTGTTACAGCAATGAGTTTATCGCAATGGTTCGCTGATTGCAAGTAGCAAGTGAACTATATTAACTGCCGTCGAGCATACCGATGACTTTTCGTCGGCAGGTTCGTTTTATGTTTTTAGTATGGATATTCACTTATTGTTAATTATGCGAATATTAACTTTCTTCTGGCTAGTTTGCAAGTTTTACTCGTATTTTATACTCTGTTTCATAAGTGTTGCGCTGTTCCTCCTCAATTCTTCATGGCAGTACATCTGCGCTCCTTTAAACCACTTAATTTGTGCTTAAATTCACTTAAATTCTACTACACTTTGAAAGTTATAGCATTGATACAACATTTTTTCTGCCTTGCTGTAACCAGCAGTGTTATGGGTCTGAATAGAACTTGTTTAAAAAGAAAATTTTTGGAAATTTCCGCAAGAAAGGAAACTTCTGGAAATGAGAACTTATTCTTCTGTTTACTGCTTATTGGTGCAGCAGATGAAGCGCTATCAGTGTAATAAATGCATCTAATACCTAAAATGCTACAGTATGAGTGATTTGTGAACGTATGCTTCTTGGAAGGGTAACACCTGCTGCTGCCCTTTCCCTAGCTACGTAGATACCCGATATGCACAGAGACTATTTGTCACATCTTGCCACTTCTAAAGCTGAAGACGGGAATTTAAATATTTATTGGCTTCTTTGCAGGAGAGTGGCGAATCGAATTTCAGCCATCATGAGAGCGATTTTGACCTGGATGAGGGCAATCGAGAGACACTGCGTCGCGATGCGGAACGATCCGCTGCACTGCAGCTCGAACGAGCTAAAGTACATTTAGAATCTTGACACTAGACACATCCAATAGGCTTTTTCTGAGTTTTTGATTTGTGTTCTTCCAGTACAAACCGGTTGCTTTTGCTGTCTGTACAAATGTGGAGTTCGATGGCACTGTGGACGATGATTCACCTGTTCACGGATGTGCTGTGTCGTTTAAAATGAAGGATTTCCTACACATCAAAGAGGTAAGAAAACAAGACTGGCTGGCATTAAAAGGACGAGAGATTTCCGGCGTAGAGGTGTGATGCTTTTGGGAGGCTTCCATTCTTAACTTTTTCTGGCGTGCTTCTGCAGCTATAATGGAATGTATGAGATCGCCAGTGATTGCTTCGGAGAATGTACAACATCTTTCCCGGAAGGAGTAACTTAAGGAAAGAATATCAAAAACAATAACTGGCTTAAGTAGCTTTAAGAAAATATTATCAAGTGCATCGGTAACTCGAAGATACACTACCACTAAACAGCAGGTAGCCAGGATGTTGAAATAACCATATAGTAATGCCCTTTCTGTACGCAAATTAATCGTAGACTATGCCGCGAAATTCATGGTGAATGTGCTTTTCCATCCATCCATCCATCGTTTCCTTCCTTTTTTTCCCCACTCCCTCTTCTCTCTGGACTTCTCCTTTCTCTTTTAGCACTTCATAAGTCACGAAAAGTAGTTCTAGCCATAGGCGGATTCGAGGCGGTTTCTTGGGGGGAAGGAGGAGGGGAGGGGGGGATTTTTCACCTCACCTTTTTCCTTCGTCACTACAACCCCAC